TGTGTGTGTGTGTGTGTGTGTGTGTGTGTGTGTGTGTGTGTGTGTGTGCACTCTTGCATGTTATTCGGACCGTCAGCCGTTCTGCAGATCTCTGGATCCCCTGCTGAGCTGCAGCTGCTTGAGTGACATGTGCTGGTTGAGCTGCAAAGCCTTTTCAACTAAAATCAGTTATCCTCACCCGCCCAACCATACACACACACACACACACACAAATATATACAATGTCCATCTGCAACTGTTTTGACATCAAATCGGTTGTATGTTGATGCTGCATCCAGCAGTTTCCCTTTGGGCTCAGAGGAGTGTCGGACGGTGTGATGGATGACGTCAGCTGCCAAGGACTCACTTTTTGTTTTGCTGTTGTGTTTCTTAAGCATCGATCGCCGTGGCTTGCCCTGCTCCACCGACATCTGATTTTCAACCCCAGCTGTCATGGCTTGTGATTTTTAAGTCTTGTCACTTAACTGAAAATTGCCTCAGACTAGCTTTGAGGCAGCAACGTAGCGCCTTAAATCCCTTATCACTTTTTTTTAAATGACCCACAAACACCTCATTGTGTCTTTGCAGAGTTGCCACATGGGGACTCCTCAGCACAGATGATGTGCTCTGATTTAAGTCACTAATGCTATCAATAAAAGCCTAATACTAACTAGTCAATAATGTTGTGCAAGACTTTGCTATTGATCCGATACCAAGTAAATATCGGGTATCCTATAAAGAGAGCTTATATACAGGGAGCAACGTGATTTAAGAGATTCAATTCAATTCAATTTTATTTATACAGGGCCAAATCACAACAACAGTTGCCTCAAGGCACTTTTTATTGTAAGGTAGACCCTACAATAATACATACAGAGAAAACCAAACAATCATATGACCCCCTATAAGTAAGCAGTCTGGCGAAAGTGGGAAGGAAAAACTCCCTTTTAACAGGAAGAAACCTCTGACAGAACGAGCCTCAAGCAGCACTGGTATCTATACTGTCGATATATGGATCAAGCTGCTCACCTCTACTAATGCATTCAGTCGACAGCTTTTTTTTGCTAAATAATGACCCTGTGCCAACACTTGCAGCGATCCACACATCTTTGCCATGTGCCATGTGATTCTGGAAACTCTCCACACAGCCCTTTAAATCTTTCAAATTTGTGGTGTGCTTTTTTCTCAAGAGTTTCAAGTTCAATACGTTTCTGTCGTTTGAGGAAACTGTCGACAAGGCCTCTCTGATACCACCGTGTTTGTACATGTGCGGCAAAAGCAGCATGTCAGCAGCAGCACCACCAAACTGAAGTGTGGTCACCCACGTCGACAAGAACTCATATCCCAGTATAAAGTTACTGTAGGTACATGTGTAAAAGAAAAAAAATGGAGGAAAAAAAAATACCCTCAAGCCGCACTTATGCGCGTGAAGTGATTAGAGATGGACAAAAAAACCAAACTCCTGTACACTGCTATGGCAGGTAGTACGAGTCACTGGTGAAGCACAAAGCAGCGTTTGAGTTTGCTTCACTTAAAAACAGACATAGTTGTTTTGAACAACTTGCAGCTTGTACATAAAAATAAATGAATAAAATAAACAAGAAACACAAAAGAAATGAAGAAGAAGCCAATAACCTAGAACCAAATCTCTGAAAACTGCCTGATCTACAGTGCTCTTCCATAAGGTGATGGGTTGCTCTGTCAGGGCTCTACAGCTGTGAGCCCAAACACCAAGTGAGCCCTGATGAGTCTGAGGTCCAACTCCAGGCTAAGAGTCTTTGTAATCCTCAATCATGAGGATGTGGAGCCGAAATGACTTGAGAAGGTTGAGAAGCTCCCTTATTTGAGAGGCAGTCCAACTGAGAGGATAACCTGGGCTGCAAATAGCACACGGCCTGGTTGGGAACACCTCATCGACCCACTAACAGAAGATGGAAGCTGGTGAGAAGGATATCTGTGCAGCTCTGCTTGTATTGGTGCCTCTGCAACCCTGACAGGGAAAATGGCAACTTTAGTGTCCTTTTTTGACTGTATGTTTGGTCATAACTTACAAAATGAACATCACGTTTGCATTTAATATGATATGAAACTAGCACTTCAAAGCCAGTGAGTAAAATGTTTATTGATGTCAGAGTTGCTCTTTTATGTTTTTAAAGACATCTACACAGTCAGACTTCTGGTGAGGTGAAGAGCATCTTGGAAACAGCAGTTTCCCAAAAACACTCTGGTGCAATTTTGCCTAAAGCGCTTCTGTCTTCGCGTTGCTAATTGATTCTTTCGCACCAACCTGGGGAAATGTTCTGTTAGATTCACAGATATCACCTGTACAAACAAACAGACAGGTGGCGTCATCTGGATGAGGAGATGACAGCGAGACAGGGAGTCTGGCTCCTAGGAATGGTGGTTGGGTGGGGGG